ACCACTCTTATACGTTAAGTCAAGTAATATATTTGTTTGACTTAACTGGTGACGACACATTTTATTATTATTATATTAAATATTTAGTTAAGCCAAGCAAGCATATTACAATATTATAAAATTTTAGTCAAAATTAATTACAACTGTAAAAAGTTTTACTATATTAGTAACACATTTTATTTTCTATATAAATCCTATTGTACCACTGAAATCATATGATAAATGATCTACGTACTCCTACCCTTAAGCCAAACAAGTATATTACAATGATAATTTAAATAATTTTGATAAATTTAGATTATTTTGCTAGTATACAGTAGAACTTAGTAATAAGCAGGCTACTGTACTTAAATAGACAACCAAAAGTTGTATATATAATTAGTACAGTATATACTTTCTAATATATATAATATACAAACTACAGTATTTCAAAAAGAGTAGTTAATTATACAATAAGTAAGTTAACCTAATAATCAAATAAAAACAGGCAGCCAAAAAGCCACCTTAATACCAAAAAAAATTACTAATAAAGATATCAAAAAAAAATAATAAAAAGATATTAAAGCAAATCTTATTTTAAAAAATATTATACTGTATTACAATAATATAGTATTATAATTAGAGAACGCCTATTTCCACCATGAACATTTGCTATTTCCATACTTTCCATATGACTTTCAGCTACATAAACATTACGAGTATATTATCATGATAAATTACGTCAAATTGTAGAAATTTTATGCGTCATTTCTCAATTTATGTCAATTTGAAAATAACATACATTTTAGAGAACCGAAATCATGCTTATATAACCGAAACTCATGTGAAAAGCATGGTGGAAATAGCAAATTTTCATGGTGGAAATAGGCGTTCCCTATAATTATTATTATTGTTAAAGAGTTTTTATTATCGATTTTGTTTAAAATGCTATTATGCTGGCCTCACCTTTAAAGATTAAAAAAAAAAAAATACTATTATGCCGGTTAATATCAATTTCTTGGGCCCAAATATAAGAAAAAATTTCAACACACCCAAGAATATTTGATTAAACCTCATTGGTTAACTTTAATCACATGATTAATGAAGTTTATGCTGCGTTGTAATTGGCTTGTTTAATTTCGGGGGGAGGGAGGATGACGTTATCAACTATTCAACTTTGAACGGTCTTAGGTTTTTTATTATTAATCAACTTCCCGACGATCATTTTCGCAGCAAGCCATCTAACTACATTAAACAGGGTGATAAATTGGCATTTTGTTAGTTGCAGTTATATTTTGTTTGTGAATTTTCACGCGGTGTGATGTCGGTTAAATGCCTGTCAGGGAAATGACCATCGGAAAATCGATATCGATATGTAACAATAAAATTTTGTACGTACGCATGTTTTTATAATAATTTATTATTAAATTATTATTAATTAAAAATAAAGGGCCAGGCTTTTAATCATTTTTTTATTTAAATTTATATTACTGTATAAGAACAAAAGCAGGTTAACTTTGTTTGGTTTAAATAACATAGTACAATATTTGCTTTTATAGCTTTTTTTTTAAAAAAAAGAAAAAAATTTAAGGTAATAAAATTATTAAACCCACTAGCACAAAATTTTTAATTAGAGCAATATATTAATGGCAAAGAAATATAAAATGCAATATCAGATATGCGTATAATATTAAACTACGAAACCACCGTTGTTCGAGGTACGCATTGCACGTGAGATCCTCACACAACTATGACTATTTGGCACGGGGAGATGTTGGCAAAACCGGCTGTTGAACAAAATAATACATTCGTGGAACCGTCGAGTCGAGATTTTTTAAAACTTGATTGTGTCAAACTAATGATTAGTCAGAGCATCTGCTAATCACAACTGACATGGAATTACCATCAGTTAATTAAGTGGGATATTACGGATCACTTTTTTAGAATCATCTATGCGCAGCAAGTGTAATCATTTTCTGTACTGCAATCTAACCATACACAATTCGGACTTACGTATTTTAGTGTCGCATGTTTGTGCATTAACTCATTCGATTTCCAAAGATGAATGATTTTCCCGCGCCACTAATTATATTGCCGTAGTGTTCATGTATTCAATGGTCGCTGTGCATATAATGCATGCGATTCTTTCTTTCAAAGGTATCATGGCGCCAATAATATGTAATTTATACGTAAATATTTTACTTTCCTTCTTAAAACCAATAAAATCCCTTAAGATCGAACAATAAGAATGTGATTTTGGTCACACATTATATAAGATTTTCGTTGAGGTAGATGGTGATCAAGCCTCTGTAGATTGTTATGCTATGAAACACAATGGTCCTGATTCGGGCCCTCGTGTCGATTATTTGGGGCAGTGAAGAATCCTGGAATGCGGCTGGAAGAAGAAGCCACGAGAGGCTTAATAAATTTGGTAATCTTGTACTAATATGTACATACGTAAGTACCGGTGTACTCTCTTTAAAAAAATCCTAAGTATTTTTGTACTACAATTTAACGAGACGTCAACCGACGCGAATTATGATTGTTACAAAGATTTTTAATTGTTATTTGTTTTTGTAACTCAAGGGGTACTAGCTTTAATACATACGTACGTATGTACATGAGATGGGATTAAACCGGGTTCTATCGGAGCATTGGTATTTTTGGAATTACCAAGATGAAGAAGCGAGATGTTGGTCCCAAGAAAGCACGAGACAGGTTTTTTTTTATAACTGTATTGTCAATTTTAGCATGACAATATATGATGAATATTTGCCGGATTAGATCATTCAATTCAGATCATATCAAAAAAACGTTAGCTTGGCTTGTTGGTTTTACTGAGCGCAGAAAGGTGATTGGCCATATAATTCAAATAATCCAAAAAAAAAAAAAAAAAAAAAAAAAATCAAATATCTCTGACTTTTTTTTTCGCCACGTATCACGTATTCTATCACTGAAAGTATATCAATATCAAATATATATATATAAGTATAACATATATATATATATATATCCGAAAGGGGTCAATCCAAAAAAAAATCGATTTTTTTTTTTTTTTTTTTGCGTAAGCAGTTAGTATAAACGGGTGTTGTTGGCTGAGGCAAACAACTTTTTTTCTTGCATAAGGTTGTACTGGAGAGGGGTTTCGCTGCCTCGCTAACGACCATAGGAAAAAAATATAAATTTTATTCACGCGGAACGGATATCTTTTGTTCAAAGCTTCTTGCTTCAGGTCTTACCGTAGTAGTTTACCCTGCAAAAGAGCGTTTATTATACGAACCTTCATAAAGGTGTTGGCTCTTTTGATCAAAAAAGACCCATTTTATTTTTTATTAGTTCGTTGTATTCAAAGTTCAAAACCATGGTCAGTCCAAAAACTGCGCAGCCAGATAACAATCTCGCTGGTTCCAGCGTCAGCAATGTCAATTTGATCAAGCCTTCTAGTACGAGATTAAAAACAACTGAATCGGAAACTAACGGGCAGATTACCATTCGATCACCTGTAACAGCATCGCCGAGAGAAATCTTGATTAATAATGAGGAAACTGAAAAGGTTTCCCAAGAAAATGACCCTCCCAAGAAAATATCACCTTCTCCTGCGCCAATACCACCTGTAAATATTTGGCATGTAAGAAAGGAAGCCATGAACGCAAAAAAGGTTACTGAAACTTCCAACCTTAACGATAAAGAAGCTGTGACCGATATCAAAAAAACCGAAAATCTTAATATTGATCAACAAGAACCTTCAGATGGTACGTTACAATTTATTGTCACGTTTTGCAGGAATATGACATATTGCTAGAATTTTTCGTGCTCGTTGCTTCATTTTAAGGTGGATCTTTTAAGTCATTGGTTGTTGAAAGCTCATATACCGAATTATTTAAATAATTACCTCTAAATTTCCACTGTATGGGTTTTATCAGAAAATCGTCGTCAATATTTGATTATCTACTGGCTGGAATTAACCTTTATTTGGTTAAGAAAAGCCGATTACAAGTCAATAGTGTGCGTTGGGTAGACTATATACAGTCAATATTACAAAGATCGTAGAATTAACTTCTGCCTGGTTCCTTGTCTATTTTAAAAAGATTACAAAAGATTCACTAAAAAAGAATCAAAGAAACAAAAACCACCTCCAATATTACCTCCACTAGAAGATCAAAGTATTTGGCCAGCTCCTGCGGAAGTTTTGATCAAAGATAAAGAAAAGGAACAAACTGAAACTTCCGAAAAGAAGCAATCCATTGATATCGGGACAAAAGATAGTCCAAGAAGAGGTGAATTATCTCCATTTATTTTGGCTTAATTATTAATTTCAAAAAAATTTTTTTTTTTTTATGTATTTTATCTCACCATTAATTGTACAATTGTTTAAAGGTAAAGGTAAATGGATTAAGTATACTCCAATAATCACACATAATGCACCATTACCAAGTCATGAGAGGTCAAAACCTCGGCGCCGTAGTGAAGATCATACCGGTCTTCGTGAACGTAAATCTAGCGAAAAAGTCATAAATTCTGAAGTGACAACTCCAACGGTGCAAAATCATAATCATAATACAAATAGACGTCGCGCAAGTGTACCTCCACCATCTAGAGAATATGGTCGTCGTTATTCACAACATGGTGACAATAATGTCGGTCATCATTCACATTCTAATAGTGGACCGCCGTTTCGTGGGGGTCGTAGGGGAGGAAGAGGTACGAATATATTTAATCTTATGACCTTTTTTTCATCGTGATTCACCTATTCATTCAATTAAATAAATTAAATGTGATATTCATTTTGATAAGGTCGATCATACAATAGTACACGCGGACCTCCTCGTTCGGTAACTTTACCTTATGCATCAACAACAGGATACGTTCAGCAATATGTCAATGTATATGGAACAAAAGTTGGCTATGATATAGAGATTTTGAAATACTACATTTTACAACAAATGTACGCTCTACTTTAATTATTTCTTATATTTCATTTTTTTGTTGATCTGAGTATCTTGACAAGTTTGATTATGTAATATTTTAGAGAGTATTATTTCAGTATTGACAACCTTTGCAAGGATATATTTTTACGAAATAATGCAAGTCTATCTCTTAATATAACTAATGAATCATTTAATATTACTATACTATAATCTAACAGTGCTTACTATCATCTATTAGATGGATTCAGAAGGCTATGTACCAATTTCTTTATTAGCAGGATTTAATAGGGTGAAAGCTTTAACAATGGACATTGAACTTGTCCGTGAGGTAGGATTTCTCATTAGAATAATTCTCAATATATTTAATGATGCTTACATGAAAGTTATTTTCTTAATATAGGCACTGCTTAATAGTTATATTGTTGAGGTTAATGATGATAAAGTTAGAAAGCGCGAAGGGTGGGAATCTTGGTTACTACCAAAAGTAAGGATTAAAATACAATTTCTAACAATTGTTATTTATATTGATATATACTCATAATCCACTGTTTCATTTAGTACAAAATGGGTGAACATGATCATGGGCACACTAATAACGTACAAACAATGTCAGAATCTACCAGTCAACACTATGAGGCCCACATGAATGAAAGCATTCCTCTAATAGATGAAGATGAAAACAAAGAAAATGAGGAAATGCCTACAATTCCTGAGGGTCTCTCTGAAAATGGTTCTTCTGCCATGACAAATCCATGGATTCTTCATACTAAAAAACGTCGTACATTATCGTCACCAACATCTCCTAAAGTGACTCCAAAATCATCTCGTGACATTCCAAAACCAACTTCAACTGGTGATGATGAACTTTTCCAACTTGATGAAGATTGGGCTGGTGGTTCAAGAAATAATACTGTACAAAAATATTGCGCCTCATCAGATGAAGAGGATGATGATGATGAATTTGATGATGATACTGTCGCTAGTATCTTAATTGTAACACAAAAGAAAAGAGACAAAAGTCATGTCCCTTTTGAAAGAAAGGCAATGAACGGTGAGATTACTCATCATTTTAAACATGCACACAATTTTATTTAATATTCTATAAATTAGTTAATTTCTTTTTGTTTACATCCATTATAGATGAGATTGCAGAAATGATAAATGAAGGTTTATATAGATATGAACACGATTTACAAAAACAGAAGTTAGTACTATAATATTTTTATCGATGAAATGGTTTTTTGTTAAATAATAATATTTGCTAACAATCGTTAATTAATAGGCGTGTTAGTGGGACACGAAAAGTGGATATAATTAGGTAAACTTTAATTATGATTCTAGTATGCTAGTGTTATTTGATAAATTCAATTTTTAACTTTTTATTTTCTTAAATAGTGAAGAACAATTTACTTCAATAGTTTCATCTACTAAATCAAAAGAAGGGTTATCCAATTCAGGGGTCAACTTATCGAGTAAAGTTGTCACAACTGATAATTACACCAAAGGGTAAGAATTTCTTTAGCAGCTTTTATTTAGTTGTTTAAAATATAATTCTTCATGATTTTGTATAATGATCGATATATATTCTGAATTTTTTGAGAACAGCAAGAAAAAGTCGACGCGCTTTTGGCCTGTTAAGGGTGCACAAGATGCAGTTGGCTGGATTCTAGGGTAAGCAATTAATTGACTCGATGATTATGTATGCACATATTGACTTAACTATTTTCATAACCTCTTGTTATTTATTTTATGCAGTGATCAGCCTTACCATCCACAAGAAGGCACTTCACCAGCGAGCCTATCACTCTCACCTTTAAATCATACTAACGGCACGCCAAATAATTGCACGGAACAACTATCTTCATCCGTTGATATTGCACGATCATTTCCAGTTTTTCAACATCCCAGTCACGAACTCTTGCGCGAAAATGGGTTTATTCAACATAAATATTATAAATATCATGCTAAAGCTTTGAAAGGTACTTATGAATTATTTTATGATTTATAAAGGATTTTTAGAATACATGAAAGATTTGATTATCATAGTTTATATTATTCATGAATATCAAATATCAAATTTAAAATAGAACGTAAGCGTCAAGGAATCGGCCAATCTCAAGAGATGAATACCCTCTTTCGATTCTGGTCACATTTCTTACGTGAACATTTCAACAAACGAATGTATTCCGAGTTTAAGAAATTTGCAGTTGAAGATGCAAACTCTAATTATCGTTATGGTCTTGAATGTTTATTCCGATTTTACTCTTATGGTCTTGAGAAAAAATATCGGCAAGATCTATTTGATGATTTTCAGGAATTAACTTTGTCAGACTGCGAAAACGGGCATCTTTACGGACTTGAGAAGTTTTGGGCTTACTTGTTTTATAGGAAAGACAAGAATAAGAGAACAGTGGAAGTATGCGAGAAGCTTAATAAATATTTAGACAAATATCAGGTAACATTCATAATTAACTTGAATATATATTTCACGTTTAAGTTACTAATAATTGGCATTTTCACAGAATATTGATGACTTTAAAAGTGCTTATAAGACCGAGCGGGCTCAATTGACAAATAATAATTGCGCGACTTCACATCATAGTCATCGTGCTTCACCAGCCTCACCTTTAACACCTTATTCTGTTATTTCGGCTGATAACTTTCCTCCATTAGCTGTAACAGCATTGCGATAAGTTAATTTAACAGTAACACGTGGGTGAGTTTATGTATGAGGAGTCCTGTAGAAAAGTATGGTTTAATAAGTTAACAGGTGTATTATATACTGTGAGGTGTTTCTGGATTTAATTTCCGACATTTGTCGCCGTCTTGCAACGTCAAGTTATAAATAGTTTTTGTTAATTGTTTGCATATTTTTTCTTGTTTATTAGTTTTTCAATTTTTTTTTTTTTCATTTTTTTTTTTTTTTTTTTTTTTTTTTTTTTTTTTTTTTTTTTTTTTTTTTTTTTTTTTTTT